GCAATATTAGGCCTTGTCATAGACAAATACAAGAGTCTCCCTACGAGTCTCTGGAACTTCTTCACATCTTTCAAAAACTCTCCCTGACTGTCTCCCAGCTGATGATTAGATTCAATTGGTTTTACCCCCAACTTGCTTGTATCTTCTAGTAGATCTAGTACATATTTCCGTTGGAAAATAAAGATGCCCTTGTGAGAGCAGGCAACTTCAATTCCAAGGAAATAACGTAAGGGGCCTAGATCTCTCACCTCAAATTGAGTGGCTAAGAATTGTTTTAGTCTCCGTATTTCAGCATCCCAATCTCCTGTGATCACTATGTCATCCACATACACAATAAGAACTGCAATTTTCCCTTCACCTCTTTTCACAAATAGAGTGTGATCTGACTGGCATTGTTTGAACCCCATCTGTTGAACTGCTAAATGAAACTTACTAAACCAAGCCCGAGGTGATTGTTTCAACCCATATAAAGATTTTTTTAACCTGCACACCTTTTGTTCACTGCCTTTGGCACAGAAACCTGGAGGTTGGGTCATGTACATTTCCTCTTCCAAGTTACCATTCAAGAAAGCATTTTTGATGTCCAATTGGTGAAGTTCCCAATCAAGATTTGCTGCCAATGAAAGAAGGATCCTGATAGACTTCATCTTGGCTACTAGAGCAAAAGTATCTACATAGTCTACTCCATATACCTGTGTAAAACCTCTTGCTACCAGTCTAGCCTTGTACCTTTCAACAGTTCCATCAGTCTTGTGTTTCACTGTGAACACCCACTTGCAACCCACAAGTTCCTTCCCTTCAGGAAGGTCCACCAACTCCCAAGTGCCATTTTTGTGTAATGCATCAATTTCTTCTTGCATTGCATCTGTCCATTCAGGTTTAGATAAAGCTTCTGCCACATTCTTAGGAATGAGAACACTGTCCACAGAAGAGAGGAATGCACGGAATGAAGGTGAAATGTGATCATAGGACACAAAATTAGAGATAGGATGATTAGTGGTACAAGGTCTAACACCCTTTCTCTTAACAATAGGAATATCAAGATCATTGATGACAAGTGAATCAACATTGAGAGGAACAGACATATCAATAGGAGCAAGTGTACCTGGCTGATGAGACAGATCTGCCTCTGGTGAATCCGAAGATGTTGGTTGCATAGTGTCAGGTTTCATGGCTCTTGAACTCTGCTGGCTTTTATGGCGACGATGAAAAACCCAGAATGGAGGATTGGGTAAAGGAGGTAGTTGAGTTTGAGTCGCTTGTTTCTCCTCAACCCTACTCTCCCCCTAAGGAGAAACCGAGAAGAAAGGTTGATTCTCAAAGAAGGATACATCAATGGAGACATAGTAYTTGCAAGAGGTAGGATCATAGCAGCAATACCCCTTTTGAGATAAAGGGTAACCAAGGAAAACACAAGGAATAGCCCGAGAATCAAGCTTACCTCGAGTAGGGGACAAGTTATGGACAAGCAATGACACCCAAAAACACGCATCGGAATGGTGGACAACGGAGCTGTAGGAAACAAAACCTAATATGGATCCTTATACTCTAGTAACCGAGATGGCATACGGTTGATGATGTATGTAGCACACAAAACTGCATCCATCCAAAAACGTTTTGGCACATCCATATGAATTAATAAGCCACGAACTACTTCGAGAAGGTGACGGTTCTTTTGTTCAGCAACACCATTTTGTTGGGGTGTCCTAGCACAAGAGCTTTGCTGAAGTGACCCACTTGAAGCAAAAAACTCCGTGAGATCACTATGGAAGTATTCCTTCGCATTGTTCGACTGGAAGATATGGATTTCAGTTTGGAACTGAGTGAACACCATGCATTGAAAGTCTTTCACAATTTTTGGCACTTCATCTCTAGATCGCATAGGGTAAACCCAAGTGTATTTAGAGTAATCATCAATCAAGGTAATG